CAGGAAGGCATTAAGGCCAGCAGGGAAATCAATAAGTACACACCCTAAGGTGTCATTATAGAAGTCTAAATTCCAGAATACATAGGGTAGCTTTTATAGATAATTAGTGCAGGGACATCACCCTAGAGGGGGACCACAGCTGCGATACAAGGATATCGAGAAGCGGGATCTGAAGGGCTTGGAAATGAATCTCAACAGATGGGAAACCCTGACATCTGAGCGTTCAGCCTGGCGGCAGGTGGTGCATCACGGCCTCTCCCAATTTGAAGAGACCCTTGTCCAGCAGGCCGATGCAAAGAGTCAGTCACGAAAGCAGCAAAATCAGGGAGCTAGACGGGGTACAGATTGTATTTGTCCTCAGTGTGGAAGGGATTGTCACTCTCTCGAATTGATCCTGTGGCTTCTTTGTTGCTGCAGGAATGCCTAGGTGTCTTCACACTTATGTAGCAATGGCTATATCCCTTAATACATTCAGCTAGCTATACTTTAAGATGTGACACACTGGTTATTTTAATACATGTATATAATTGGCAAATGTATCTATTTAATGTAATTTATATAATGACCTATTAGTGCATTGTTGTATACCAGTGGTTCTTAACCTTTGTTACTCAGATGCTTTTGAACTGCAACTCCCAGAAACCCCTGTCAGCACAGCAGGTGGTGAAGGCTTCTGGGAGTTGCAGTCCAAAACTCCTGAGTAACCCAAGGTTAAGAACCAGTGTTGTATACCACGCTGTGAGGGTTAAGTGGTTACCTCAGGCTTACCAGACACAAACACCGGAGGCGCGTGCTCAGAACTAGGGTTTATTGGAACATCAAACAGTGAGGTATCAACATTAAACTTGTCAGTGTTCTTTTCTCCCGCCACCAAGGGGTCAAGCAAAGGTGTCCATGCTTCTTGCAAAAAGGGGTTGAAACTTGGATCGTACCAAGGTCCTTTGGCAAACGGGTTAACGTCACCCGGTCCCTTCACTTCAGTGTCCACCTCAATCAAGGTTAAGGTCTCCTCATCTCCCCTCTCCAGGTCGAAGGGGTTGGCTCCCTCTGACTAGGGGTCCCAGGGTCCGGTGAATACCTCCTTCGGCGAGCCTCCTCCAGACGCCATGCTCTTCTTTTCCTCTCTTGTCTCTCTACTTTCTCTTTTTCCTCCCTCAAACGCCTCCTCCACTCTCTAGCCTCTGTTTCACCCCAGTATGATGACGTCTTCGATAGTCTGCCTCCTCCCGAGGCACCCTAACCTTTTCACATCTCTCTGTCCAGGGGTCTTTTACCCAGATTAATTCCCAACCCCCGGGTATATTATCTTTCTCCTCCCCCAATTCTCCATGCCCCGCCTCCACTAACAGTCACTCATCTGCCTTTTCTGTCCTGGTCTGGGTAGCTACAGACATCTTCTTTATACCATGCTCCAAATCCCCTGTGTCTACCCCCTGGTATCTGAACGCGACGTGGGAAGTCGTAGGCGCTGTCTGTGTCTTTTTCTCTCTTAACTGAGGACTACACTTCGGCGAGGACTTCTATAGCCTCGCCTCGGGTCTCACACACGCACTATTGTGGGTGGTATACAACAAAGTAAAATGAAACAAACTATAAACAAGCAAGAAAATCAAATTTATTTATTTATTTATTTATTTAGCTTACTCAAAGGTCTCGGGGTGGCTTACAACAATTAAAATGCAATAAAAAAGGTAAAACAGTTAAAATGCAATTAAAATATATACAGTGGTGCCTCGCTAGACGGTTGCCCCGTTTTACGATGAAATCGCTTTACGATGGGTTTTCTGCGTGCATTTTACCCATCGCAAAACGATTCTTCCAATGGGGCTTTTTCGCACCACGATCACCCGCTTATTAATATTTTTTCTCAAATTATTGACTTAATTAATATTGCAATTGTATTTTTATGATTATATATATTTTTATATTGATTTATTGTTATGTTGTAAGCCGCCCTGAGTAGACATGGTCTAGAGGGGCGGGGTATAAATTTAATAAATAAATAAATAAATTTTAAAAACAGTTACAATGCAATTAAAATATATACTCTAAAAATTGCCATCAGGAGCCACAGTTGATATTACTGTATTTCAATTAAAAGCCCTCTGGAACAGGAAGGTTTTGACCTGGCACTGAAATATCAGCGTCTTCACCAGACAAATCTCCCTCAGGATGGCGTTCCATAGTCTAGGGCACTGGTTCTTAACCTTCGTTAAAAAACAGTTACAATGCAATTAAAATATATACTCTAAAAATTGCCATCAGGAGCCACAGTTGATATTACTGTATTTCAATTAAAAGCCCTCTGGAACAGGAAGGTTTTGACCTGGCACTGAAATATCAGCGTCTTCACCAGACAAATCTCCCTCAGGATGGCGTTCCATAGTCTAGGGCACTGGTTCTTAACCTTCGTTACTCAGATGGCATTCTCAGCTGATAGATTCTCTTTTTGCAAGGGTGCTCACCTAGACCAGTGGTTCTTAACCTTGGGTTACTCAGGTGTTTTTCGACTGCAACTCCCAGAAGCCTTCGCCATCAGCTCTGCTGGCTGAGATTTCTGGGAGTTGCGGTTCAAAAACATCTGAGTAACAAAGGTTAAGAACCACTGGTCTAGGCGCAGCTGCCGAAAAGTCCCTTTGTCTACAAGCCATCCTTCTTACCCCCTTGAGGGACGGCTCTTTCAAAAGGGCCCCCTGGATAGATCTTAACTGCCGGGTAGGTTCATATGGAAATTGTAACACCTATGGTTATATCTCAGAAGTTACAATGAGAAGGACTCTCCTCACAACCAGAAGGCTTTTGTTTTTTGTTTAGCCCCCCCAACACCCTCCCAAAGATAATATTACATTGAAAAATGTTTAAAGGGCAATGCCATTTCCTGCTGAATTCAGCCTTGTGCTTTCCTTTTGTGTTCTGCTGCTCTGCTGAGCCTTTCATCTTTGTTCTAAGAACTACCTTAAGTGGTTGGCTGTTAACTGGTTTTTTAAATTGTCTGTAATCAAAGTTAATTGGCACAATTGTCTTTAGATGTGTATCTGTGTTCTCTTAATACCCTTCTGTTTTCAACTAACGACTCTGGTGACTTCGTCTTAGTCTTGCTGGTTGGAAGGTTGGTTGTGCAGCACGTTGCGGTTCTTTATCTGCCGCTGCTCTGGTCTATCTCTGTGGCTTTCCAGAGTAAGTGCAAGGTGTGGGATTTCTTAAGAAACATTCTGAAAAAGGGTGTGCAGGGCTACTTCTCCAGATAAATAATCTGATTGTGTATGAGTGAATGAGAGCGAGCTTGGGCACTCAAGAAAGCAAAAAGCAAAGCATGCTGCTTATACAGCACTTAAAGCACTCTCTGGGTAGTTTACAAGTTAATAATGCAGGCGAAACATTGCCCCCCCCCCCCCGGCCCAGTGAGCTGGCTACTCAATTTACCAACCTCAGAAGGATGGAAGGTTGAGTGAACCTCAAGCTGGCTATCTGGGATTGAACCCAGGTCATGGGCACAGTTTTGGTTGCAACACAGCAGTTTAACCACCGCAGCACAAGGCTCCCAAATGGGCATTGGCCTATGCCAATATTACATAAGAAGCATCTGTCTCCATGTCTCACTAGTACATGGTCTCTGTGATTTCCTTGTCTTTGGATGATCCCTTTTTTAATTGTATCACTGTAATATAAAGGTTATTTTTTAGCTTCTGGCCCTAACTAGCTTGAAAGTTACAGAGCACATAATTCCCTAAACGTCTCTTAGGCATTTTGACTCTCCCCCTGCACCTGACAGTTTAAGTACTTTGATGGCCCTTCTGTTATAATAATATGATTATATTCAAATGCTTGTCTTTTGCAGATTCTTGCTGTCTAAAATAAACATATATACAAGGTTGAGTGTTACACATGTGGGCTACTTCAGATAACTATATTTCTCCATGGAACTGCCTAAATTAGTGTAAATAGATTTGCAGGCAGAAAATTCAGGGATTTGCTATACATACATATCTGTGAGAAAGCTGCAGACAGTTACATCATCATAGTTTTCATGAGTATAGCATACAATCTGCATTATATCTGTGAGAATGCTGCAGACAGTTACATTGTCATCGTTTTCATGAGTATAGCATACAATCTGCATATATATGATGTAATAATCAGATTATTTTTACATGGCCATGTCTCTTAAGGAGGAATGTTGTACTGTGAAGTGGGTTGTCCTTGGAATATGTGTTCTGAAGAGCCACATGTGGATTAAACAGTATGAAAAAGCAAATTAGGCAGTCTCTTGACATATAGGTGTCCTCCCCTAATGTTTTTATTTTAATATTTTTGCTGAAGTTATATCCATCAGCCTATTTGAGTTATCCTGGAAGGAAGGAAGATATCCCTGAATTTAAGACCTATACTGCAGTATTAGCTATCCAAATAAACAACTTACATTTTAAGAGATGGGAAATACAGAATAGAGATTTGTTCCCTTCCGCCAAGGGAAGGGAATACCTGTAACACTTTAATTGGTTTGGGTTTAAATACTGTATTAAAATATGTAGTCCCAGTAATAATCCATCAGATATGGTTAAAACTTAGTTTTAGCCATTCTGTTCATCACTGAACATTTCAGTTTTGCTTGAGGACTTGAAAGGCTTTTAGAAAGTCTTAATAAAAGTCTTTAATAAAACATATTGAAGCTATAAAGATCATAACTTAGAATCCTATTGCTGTTTATGTGAGGTTCACCTAACTTGCTGTGGCTACCTACAGCTAATTGCTGAGGTGCAAGGGCAGATCTCAATTGCACATTCATACTTGGGATCAAGCATACATTCAAGAGACACCTCAGCTATTAGCCAAAGCAAGTTACACAAAACCTACAGAAACACCAATAGGATGCGTCCCAAAACGTTAAATTGCAAATTTTAGTATTTAGACACTAAGTAAGAATGCCCCAGCCCCTTTACTTTTGACAATAGAAATGTGTAACATTGTGGTACATATATAAACACATCAACATTTTCCATAGCTTAGTTTATTTCTGGATAACTGCCCAGTTCTATTTATCGGTTTGCATTTTTGGATATGCCATAATCAGAAATATTTTGGCATAGTTTTGTGGCCAGCCAAACCAGTCCGCAGCAGACAAGGATTCCAGCCTTTTCTCTAGCATCTGCCCCCCCACCTCATTAAATAACTTAAGATAAGGCATATTGTTACAACATACAATAGTCATCAGATAACAAACCCAGAACTTCACAAGGGTTATATCTGGATCAGCATCTGGGGAATCTTCATCTTCATCCAGATAAGAAATGAGAATTTCAGCAAGATGATTTTCTCTAGTTTCATTTTGGTTCATAGGGCTGAGGTAACAAATACCACATAATCCTTTTAACACAGAGATGCTTGCTTTCCCAGAAGTGTCTGGCATGATCAAAATATCAATCATGTCTTGAATATATTCAATGGCAAGTTCAGCAGCAGTGACACCACCTGTAAAATATTGTATTAAATTCTGACACAGTGTGTGAATATACAGAAAATATTGAGCACTAGTATGTTAGAATATTCCTCTAGGTTTTTTTACTTTCTAAGAAAATTGGTATTTGTTTCAAACTTTGTCACGTGGTTTTGTCCTCAGCTATAGATGGTATTCAACCCGATTACTAAACGGTTTTCTCTCACACAGTTTAACTAGATGGTTAATGTGTTGCTCAGTCATTGCCCCAGATGTACATTGTAACACATTTAAAAAAAAAAGAAAAGGAAGCAGTCATGGAGCTTCTTGGGAGTGGTAGTTTCATTGTCTCTCAAAAAACTGCCATGTCCAGGACTTACTGTGGCATCTTCCTTTTTTGGGGCATTCAGGAATTTTGGAGAACAGGAATTCTGTCTGGGGAAATCTTGGAGAATTTTACGTGCTGCAGTCAAGAAAAAAATGAATGGTACATCTATAGTAATATCGTGTTACTGATTTTGCAGCAGAGCAAGAATCGGCATGCAGTGGAGGTCCTGTTGGAATATGAAGGACACGTGATTTTCCTTCTACTCCACATTAGGGCAACAGGATACTGACCAATGTGTCTGTTTTGGTGCAGTGAGTAGTCCAGTAAGAGACAAAGTAGGACCTATGGTCTTAAAGTGGCCATTTGATGTACAGTCAGAGGAAGGATATTTTTAAAAGGGTACAAGAGCCTTTAATACAAAGCAGTGCTAGGGAATCTCTGGCCCTTCAGATTGCAATCCTTGTCATAACAACTGCTGCTAGTTAGAAATGATTGGAGCAATAGTTCCTAATCATGGAGACCTAAACCATATTGGACTACAATTACCAAGTGCCCTAGAAAGCAGAGAAAGAGGAATTGTAGTCCAAGGCCATCAAGTTTGGGAACCTACCTCTAGATGGTCACAGGTTCCTCATTTCTGTCAAGAGCAAAGAGGTTCACATTTTGTACAATAGAACTAAAAATATTCTTTGAGAGAACATCTCTGAGTCCTAACATTTAGGTCTTAAAACTACAACTTGTACAGTTAGGATGAAATGGACTGTAAGCTTAGCTCAGGATTAGCTGATATTGTTGTGTTTTAGTCTGCATACCTGTGTAAGTTAAGAGACCAATATGTAGTGCAGCTCTGCTTCTCTCCTCCAAGGACAACTCTTCATTTCTCAAATCATTGCCATAGGTTTTGATTTTATGGTGGTGAAAGATGGGATCTATTAATTTGATTGACGGCTCCCTTACTTGTACGATATACATATCATACCACATTTGCAGCTTGTTTAGTATGTTTCCCATAATGCCTGCACTTCAGATAGAATTGCTTCCTAGATTTGTATTCCCCTAGATCAGAGAGGAACTACTCAAAAGTCAAAGTACTGATTTGCAGTTACTTCAGCATTCTCACAACTGGTAACTAGGCAATGAAAGCTGTAAACAGAATGGAAAATAGAAGCAGCATGTACTCTTGATGATGACATGCTTATGTAGGTTTCATAGCCACTTTGTCCAGGTTCATATAAATATTTAGGCCAAAATCCTGCTTGTTCTTACCATGCCCACAATAATATTACTATTTACCAAGGCCGTTGGCAACTCTTTGGATCTGAGTCTTCGGTACTGAGTTACAAGCCCCAAGTCTCAGTCCCTTTTAAAAATAAGCTCTTCCCAGAAAAAAAGGAGGGGTGGGTGGGTTCTGAGTCACAAGTTGAGTCCCAGTCATTGAAAAAATAATGAGTTGAATCACCAGAACAACCTAAGTCTGACTTGACAGCAAGTCCTGTGACTCAAGTCCCTATCGCTACTATTTGGATTTTTTGTACACACAGAAACCCTGTTGCTTTCAGCAAGTGATCTCCAGCTTGCACAATTGCAAACTGGGAACTTATAGGAAGTGCTGTACTTCCAGGACAGCTATTCTAGGTAAAGGTTCCCTTTGAAATTTAGTCCAGTTGTGTCGAACTCTAGGGCGTGGTGCTCATCCCCGTTTCCAAGCCATAGAGGCAGCATTTGTCCGAAAACAGTCACATGGCCAGCGCAACTAGACACGGAATGCCATTACCTTCCCACCGAGGTGGTACCTATTTATCTACTCGCAGTTTTACATGCTTTCAAACTGCTAGGTTGCCAGGAGCTGGGACAAGTGACAGGGGGCTCACTCCGTCGCATGGATTCGATCTTATGGCTGCTGGTCTTTGACCTTGCAGCACAGAGGCTTCTGTGGGTTTAACCCGCAGTGCCACCACATCCCTACAGTTATTCTAGACTTTACAAACAGAATTCTGCCTTTTATATTTTACATTTCCTTCCTGTGGCTCTGAGTTAGTGGGATTTATGAATAACTTCAGTGCTTTAGGGATTTATGAATAACTGATTTCCTCATCCTTAGCTACTGTCTGTGTTGCCTGAGGCTGTTGGATGTAGTCCAACAATATCTGAAAGGCCACAAACTTCAGAGTTTTCCATTAAGGCCTTGCAGTAGCATGGAGAAATGAACTAAGCAATGTTAAAACAAACAAAACCTCCTATTACTTTACTATTACTCAGTAATTCAAAAATAATCTTTATTATAACTTAAGGTAGCCGTAAATATGAGAAGTACAAATACCACAAAACTAGAAGGCAAATATAAGCCAAAAGTCAGTACAAAAGACAACCATGAAAGACGGCAGGCTCATGTGAGCAGTGTGTTGTAAAAACCAAAGTGTAATTGTTTCATTTGTCGCAGGAGACATTTTTGTCAAAGTAAACCTTTTGGATTGACAACTATACAAATGCAGCTTTTAATCAGCATATTCATATGTATATATATAATATATATATAATTTATAAATATACAGATATATACAGTGTTGCATCATTCACTAAAAATGCTGTCTTGCCAATGTATTTGCAAAAAAAAGGCTTCTGTTAGATTGTATTTTTAAAAAACGATCTCAAAATCTGCACATCATAAAAGGGTGACTGATCATTTCATAACCCTTCCTCCCCAAGACCAACAGCACTAGTTGCTATGTAATTGTTAACCCATGGAATAGTAATAAGGGTTTTGATGAAATCTTCAAGCTACCACCCTCTTACTTGCAAGTTAGGCTGTTGGTGGACATTTACTTCTAAGCCTGTATAGAAGCCATTATTTCAACTGACTATTAAACATTATGTAAGAGAAATACGTTTGCGAATCCTCTGCTTTTTAAACAATCCCAAAGATGTCAGCAACTTTAATACATTTTTACACATTTGCTTTTGTGTAGTAAATTCTTACAGAAACATTGGTCATATCCTCACTCCTTTTTGGGAATTGTGGAAGAGGAAACTAGATTGGGGATTTTCAGGTAATAACATTTATTGCATTCATTTGCCCTTTCTGCAAGAAGAAGAAGAAGAAAGGAACACATTTAACCTTCAGCTTGTTTGCACAGCCCACACAATTGCTTGACAATAAAAGATAATCCTGTGGGATTAATGAGAGTTCATTAGTGGAGGGAGACACTGAGAATTTAAAATGAAGTGAATCAAAGAATTGACACTTCCTGGGACATACATCCTGGTGTTTCTGGAGGCAGATCAGAATGTTCATGCTAAAGTTTGCTACTAAGGCAACAGAGGCTAAGCGCAGAAGGGAGTAGATACACTTTAGTATGTCTACTCTGCGTGCTTTTTTCTTTCCACTGTTTAAGGAAAGCAACATCATGTTTGAAACAAATTCAATAATGCTCACAAAAATACACTCGATTCCATTAAAATGCTTGAAGGATGATTTAAAATCTCTCATGGTTGGTGAAGCTGATTTACAGCATCATGTTTGAAACAAATTCAATAATGCTCACAAAAATACACTCGATTCCATAAAAATGCTTGAAGGATGATTTAAAATCTTCTCTCATGGTTGGTGAAGCTGATTTACAGCAGTCACATAGTTTCACTCAAAGCAAATAATCACAACCTTTGACAGATTCACTATAAGCTACAGGGGAAAGCTGATAGCTCACAAACAATACCCTCCATATAATAATTATTTTCGAAAAGTTTCAGCACATATTTCAAAAGAGTGGTTTTCATTCTTCCAGTTCAACTACAGCACCATAATGATTAAGAAGGCCAGCCAATGTGGCTACATGTTAATACTGTACTGGCTAAAACATTTAAAAGGCTGTGGCCACTTCAGTTGCACGTCGTCCACCAACTTTAGTCAATTCACGGGGGAATTTATCTAGTTGCTCATATGCCAGCCGTCCATCTTCTCCTAAGAATAAGAGAGAAGCAAAGTGAATATTACAACATTTAAGTGATGGTTTTCAACTAAGGGATATAAACATTGCTACTCCCCCTAACCTTGTGAACTACTGTAGGCTGATTCAGGTAGAAGAATCAGCCTACAGCTGGGTCCACAAGCTGTGTGGAAGCCATGTCCTCTGATCTCTCAAGCTTATTTTTAGTTCAGCCTTCAATAGATGGAGGTGGTGTGAAAAGAAAGGCATGATCACTGATGGTTTATAGAACAGAATGCTGTCATTCAAAAGAAAGTTCCAGAGTCAAACTTGTGTTAATTCTTCCTATTGATAAATTGTTTACTCTGTCTCAGTAATGAGCTGAATTTTGTCATAAAGGTAAAGGTAAAGGTTCCCCTTGACAATTTTTGTCCAGTCGTGTTCGACTCTAGGGGGCGGTGCTCATCCCCGTTTATAGAAGAAAGTATTTTCTAAAGAAGATGGGTTGGGTCCACAAGCTGTGTGGAAGCCATGCCCTCTGATCTCTCAAGCTTATTTTTAGTTCAGTCTTCAATAGATGGAGGAGGTGTGAAAAGAAAGGCTTGATCATTGATGGTTTATAGAACAAAATGCTGGCATCCAGAAGAAAGTTCCAGAGTCAAACTTTTGTTAATTCTTCCTATTGATAAATTGTTTACTCTGTCTCAGTAATGAGCTGAATTTTGTCATAGTCGAAAGCTAATGCTCTTCCATGTATCTTTCAGGAAGGACAGCTCTCAACAACCTTTCTGTCTTCCAACAATTAGACTCATTTTGTTGTTACTAGAACAGCTGCTCATCTATGGTTCATATGCTGGTGAATGTAAAGCTATTTGAAAAATTCCTATAACAGCTCTAGTAGGCTGCAAGGGAAGCATGAAGCTTACATGAATTATTATTCCTATATAATACCTCACTTTATTTGAAATATTGAAACATAATTCTATCTAGCCATAAGAATATATTTTTAGAGCTATGGTGGCCATCATATAGGCCACTTGTGGACCCTAGGGGTGGTCTAATGATCCTTACAAATCCATCCTCCATTGAAAGGGAAAGGCCATAAGCCAGCAGAAGAATCAATGTATTTTTGGAGTGGAATGGGGTGAAAAGGGATTAAAAGGATATTTTCATTACCTAGTCCCGAGGATGAGGGTGGCACAGGAGGGGAATTATAAGTGTATTGTATTGTATGCATACACATTTTATGTTAGTGTTGTCATTATTCATTTTCTTTAATAAAACAACAAAATCCATCCTCCACTGAGAATGAGCCTGAGCACCCTGAAAATGACATGACTGAGGAATTGTCATGTAGATTCAGCACCCTTGGAGGTCTTTTGAGGCTGCACTCCTGGATAACTCTGAGCTTCTCCAGACTGGCTCTTGTGGGTGTGGGGTCTATTGACTTACAAAGGTTCAGGCGAGGCTGGGGAGGAAGAGTGATATGCCATTTGGCACACTCCTTCTGTCCCCATAGCAAATGATCCATGGCCTGACCAGCTGTCAAAGTAGAAAGAGCAAATAAGGAGGGAAAGAGACAAGGGGAGGGATGGGAGGAAAAAGGGTTTAGGACAGAAGGAAGCAGGAGGAGAGAGCAAAGAGGACGCTATTTGGATGGGGAAGGAAACAGAAAGGGAATCTGACAGGAACAAAGAGGATGGAAGAGCAGCCAGGAGAAGGCAAAAAGTATAGAAACAGCAGCTGAAACTGGATGGACAGAAGGGAAAATAAAAAAGATAGGAGGAAATGAGAAAGGCAGAAAGACAAAATGGAGGAAGAGAAAGGGGGAGAGGAACAAAGCCATGAGAAATGCAGGAGAAGGACAGAGGGGGTTGTCCGTCACTCCTGCCACCTTGACGTCACTGGCACTCAAAGTCTCACTTGGTGAGAGAGCCTGTCTGTAGCAGGTGGCTGTTTCTGCAGAAAGGGGGCCCCTCAGTGACAGTGGCACTGGCTGGGGTGCCTGGAGCCGGGGGGCACTTCCCCTGATTGTCTGCATGCTAAAAAGAATGTATCCCTTACAGAAAGGTGCAACACAGCTCTTAAAGGTGAAGGACGGCTCGATCTAAGCAGAAACACAAGCAGACATGGGCTTTTTTCCAAGCCAAACTGCCCTCAGCAAGCTATATATCATGTTTATATGCTAGTGTGGACAAGCACTTTGTTTTGGTGCCTTTTACTACTAAAGGGAGCTCTTTTAAATTGGAAGAGTTTTGTCTGACCCTCAAACAAGTAGATTAATTGGCATCACTGCAAAGCAGTCCTACAAACATTTATGAAAAAACAAAAACAAAGAAAAACACCTCGCTGATCATTCTAAAGTTCCAGTGAAATGGGACTGTCCCACTAGAAATTTCAGGCATGTTGTCAGATGTGTGTTGCTTAAATGTCAGCACTTCACATGTGAATGTGCAAGTTCATGCATACTTCTTTGGAAGTCTGGTGACTTGTGGAAGGAAGGGAAACGGGATCCTTCAGAGGCTCAGCTGCAGCTACCATGATCCGTCACCAACGGTTATGCTGGCTAGAATAGATGAGAGTGGCAGTCCAACAGTATGGGGAGACAACAATTTGCCACCTCAGCCTATGACAAAATAGCTGCGAAAGTGGAGCTGGCAGTTTTCTACACCAGGGGTGGTCTTCCAAACCTTGCTGGGCTGCAAGTGCCATCTCTCCTACTCAGCACGGCCAAAGATAATGCCGTAAGAGGGTGGGTGCTGCAGCCCAAAACTACTAGAAGGACCACTGGTGCCCCCTTGCTTTGTAGTATTAGCCATGACAAACATCACCATCCATAGCAGGGAAAAGTTATTTGTGAATGATGGCAAATGTGGTAATATGACCCTACATCCTTGTGGTTTTTTTCTGTCAATTCCCACACTGCACCCACCTCTGTTCTCTTTACCATGTTCTTTCTATTAACAGCTGTTTTCTTATTTCAGGCAAATAAACAGTCTAGGTGGGAAAAGGAACTTACCGAGAGAAAGAAAGGACCACTGCTGCCCCCCTGCTTTGTAGTATTAGCTATGACAAACATCACCATCCAGAGCAGGGAAAAGTTATTTGTGAATGATGGCAAATGTGGTAATATGACCCTACATCCTTGTGGTTTTTTTCTGTCAATTCCCACACTGCACCCACCTCTGTTCTCTTTACCATGTTCTTTCTATTAACAGCTATTTTCTTATCTCGGGCAAATAAACAGTCTAGGTGGGAAAAGGAACTTACCGAGAGAAAGAAGGGTTTCAGAGGCTACCTTCCTGATCTCTTCATTGTCAGACTGGCAAAGCGTAGCCAGCATTTTAATACTTTCAGTTGCCTGTATAGCAAGAAATACATTTAAAAAAAGTTTTACTCTTAAGTTTTCTGAATTTGCTACTTTAGTCATGATTTTTAGTCATCTGAGTAATTCTTCACCCTGGAATATATGCATCTTAAAAACTGTTCTTGATTTCCATGTTCTTTCAAAAGTCCATGGCCCAAACCAAGAGTCCCACCTATGAAGGTACAGCTTTAATTCACCGTGGACAGTACAAGCCACATCCAGAAGAAATAGGCATGCAGCTCTGCTCGCTCTATTGCAAGATAATAGCTGATAAATGTGGGTAGGGCTTATGGGATGAAAGTGGCTATATATTAAAAAGTGACTGCTGACTTCAGCAAAAAAATATTTTCATGGTTTCTGTTGTATCAATAATAATAAATAAAAATGAATAATTATAACAATACATGTTTGTCTGGCAGAACCACATCTCCAGGACCATAAAACAACTGAACAACTGAAACTTGGTGTGCATATACAATTATACACCTCAGGGATATGCAATTGGGAATTATCTGTCCTGAAAACAGCATTAATTAATGTCTGATGAGTCTTTATATTTAAAGCCGGCAGGGGTGCAACTTGCCAATGCATATGCCTTGAGTATGATTTATTATATTGATAATAATCATATGCTGTCAATTCTGACTTATGTCAACTCTTTTTCAGGGGTTTCTAGGTGGAGTATATTCAGAAGTCGTTTGTCATTCCCTTCGTCTGGGGGCGCTCTATGATTGTGCAGCTTGCGCAAAGCCCTAGAAGTTGGCTGTTCTCTCAGGAGGCACAGTGGGAAATGGAACTCCCACCCGAGCCAGCCACTATGGGATAGCATCACCATAATTTAAAACTGACTTGATGGCACCTAAGAACAAAAGCTGGAGAACATTGTTTTTGTGACTATTGCTATAAAGCAGATTATTGGTTTTTTAAACAACAGTTTTCCATTGTAGGACCAAAAACACGTTACAATGTGAGCATTCTGTAAAGATCAGTCTGTATATTAGGAATTTAAGATAATGCCATATCCTGATGTTAAAATCTTTCCTGTGTTTAGGATAGCTACTGTTTTTACTATAAACTTCAAATTCAACAGCAATACAGTTCTGAAATTGTAACGGTGACAGAAGTTATAGCCAATAACAGCATCTTTCATAGTACGCATTGCTTTTCTTTGAAAATAGAAAGCCACAAGGTGGCAGAGGTTGAAACAAATCCTAGTCTGAATATGGAGGTGAAGGTGGCTGTTGATACATAAAGCAGCACTTTTCTTTCTCATGTTTTCCACATAAGTGTGTAGTGGCATTTCTTGTCTTGCTATACAAGCAGTGCTGCTTTAAGAGCTGAGTTCTTGTGCATCTCCTAATGCACGAAAAGCCTTATCCTTCTGATCCTGGAAATATTTCAAGGTCCTAAATTACTTATATGATAAACCTTCCCCACTTTTGTAAAATAATATCAGGATGGTAAATGCAAAGGAACAATACTTCTTAATGTTGCTGTTTGCTCAAGAGGGGCTATTGAAACGTTTGCTGCTGCTTGGTCTTTTGTTGTGCATGGGAAAGTAAAGAAGGCAGAGGCTTACCTGGAGGCATTTCAGTGCCAGGCAAGCAGCCTTCTGTAGGTGGAGGTTGGGCTGTGCCAGGATTTCACAGTAATAAACTAAAGCCTGAAAGAGGAGAGACAGAGAGAGGGAGGGAGTGATAAGGAAGAGCAGGAAGTGATGCTGGCAACATCACCAGCTACATTTCACACAAAGGGATTCCCAACGGGTAATAAATAACTAACCCATAGTATGCAACTCTCAAGGCCGTTGCAGCAGTCAATTATTTCTTGAAGAGTACCCAGAGTCCTTCCACAAAGTTGCACCCTTCCTATCAGGATATGCAGCTTCTCCAGGACTGAAATAGCAACTTACTGGCACTAGGATACCAAGGAAATTGCCGTCCAGCCCCCAATGTGGATGTGTAAGACATGGTCACACAAGTGGGCAGCTGTTGGATGCAATTTTCTTCTTAGCTCAGATGAATTTCTTTAGCCGTTCCTGAACACAGATGACTTAAACATTATCATTATTAGGAATCTGAATGATGTGCCATTTAACTGTAGGAATCTTCAGGCAAAATTGTAAGGAAGTGTATGACCAACTTCTTCACAGCTTCATGCCTGTTGCCTGGGCTTTCCTTGGTTCATCATATAGTCTTCAGACACTGCTGAAGTGCTGATTTTTAACTTTTTTTTTAAAAAAAGCTCTTAAATGGTTTGAAATGGTTTTTATTAAATAGTTTAAATATGTAATGTGTTTTAACAATCTTCTAGTATTGCAGTTTATTGGATGTCTAACTCTTAACATTTGTCTTTTAAATACTGTGAGCCGTCTTGGATCCATTTATTGAGAGAAAGCTCAAGGTATAAATAAAATGAATGAGTGAGTAAAGGTTGCTCACAAGGTGCTGCTCCTGTTGCAAATCTAGTGGTAAAGCTGGCCCTGCTACTTCACCATTTTATTGATTAGCAGCATCCATAGCCTGCCTTCATTCTGTTACGTTGTTGTTATGTACTGCTCAGTTGGAACTGACATATAGCGACCGTAATAGGGCTTTCAAGGTAAGATATTTAAGGAGTGGTTTTACCAGTTCCACACACCCCAGTGAGCTTCCATGGCTGAGTGGGAGTCTGAACCTAGAACTCCTGAATCTGTTATTCTGTCTACTACATCACACTGTATATCTTCCTTTATTTTAGCAGAAGACAATAGGGAATATTTGAGATTATAAATGTGTTTGTTGTCTGACAGCTGACTTCTGACATGCTCTCTTGAGGAAGGTGACTCACAATACAATCATATATGCATCTCAGACGCAGTTCCCATGTCAAGGTGCAACTACAGTGGGAGAAATGCTACGGGTTTGCAGGAGGCTCATTCACATCTTGTTCTGTTAATCACATTATGTAAAAGGAAATGTAAGTCAGCTCAGAGTCCATTCCCCCACTGCTGAAATCTATAAATTTCCCCTCCACTGCTGGGGCTTATACTCTTTTAAAAACAAGATCAATTTGTATCAGTTAAAGCATGTGATCGCATGAACTAACACAGAAAAACTGCCACCCCAGCACACACTCAGGAACAATGAGCAAAGCCTGTCAGCAATATATATAATGCAATCTCTATTTTACAGGTAAGGGCAAAGCAAACCTCTGCTAGCTTGCAGCACCAGCATTACTAAAAAAAACAAAAAACAAAAAAACACCTTTATGCCAGTGCTCTTGGGTCAGGGCACCTAAACAAATACATGAAAGACCAGCAAGATGAGGAAATTAGAGGTGGAAATCTTCGTTACACCTTGTTATGCAGTCCCTTTTAACCATGTCTCCTACAGGGCTTCAACAGACCAGCAAACAAGGCTTTTCTCCTATCTCTCTGTGAGACTACTTAAATTTAACACACCCAAATTCCCTGGTGCCACTTGATAGTCAGTGAGTGCAAGTGAATTTGCATTTCCCTTGATGAGAAGTCACACCCAATGTTAAATGGGGCCTACTTCTAGTTGAGGATTGTTGTTTTAGGGCACAGTCCTGTTGGGACACAAAGCATTATGTCCCACAAGTATAGCATTCCATGTAGTCTCCAACTTGAAGTTGCACAACCAGACATAATCCCTTAATAGCAGGCCTTCCAAGTGTGGGAGGGAAGAGTGAATATTTTACTTTTTCAAACAGATTCCCACAGTGCCTTCTAATACAACAATTTAAAATAAAGTTAAATTGTTAATAGCAGTTGTGCAATCTAGATTTGGGAGATCCATCAGTCACTAAGGCAAGAAATGTACTGTATGGCTCTCTCAGCCTAGTCTGTCCCTCAGGGATCATATGAGGATCAATGGAAAAGGAGGAGGGGAATAAAGTTTAGTGCTATGAGTTCACTGAGGGAAATGAAAGGTAAATGAGAAACTAATCTATGCAATCTCATCTAATCTGCAGCCACCTCAAATCTAGCACCGCTGGCCCTGTGTGCATGGGCTTTATTACTTCACCTACCTTTTCCCTGAAGTGTTTGTCTTCTGCTGCTGCAGCTGACAATATGGCTACCACAGCCTCATGGATCTCTCTTCTGTTTTCAGTCAGAAGGAGGAGAGCCAAAGATTTCAATGTTTCTTGCTGAGGGAGGAGGCTGAGGGAGGTTAAGGCAGCTTTATTCTGCAGGAACTTTTCATCTCCTAAAGATTGTAGAGTCTGCACCATTAAAGCTAAAAACAAATAAACAAACAAAATTATTAATATGTCTTTCTTATAGGGCAAGTCTATGTGCACCACTTAGAGATGTAAAGCTAAAAAAAAGAAATACGCAGTAAAAATCCAACATGAGATTCTAAAAAAAGTTCATATAAAATTTTCATATAAAAACATTAAAAGAAGCTTTAAAAGCACATTTAAAAATCACAATCACTATCTAGGGGAGTGTCTAGCTTTGATGCCTGATTTTAAAAAAAATTGTCTTTACCTGGCACTGGAAGGACAAAAGGGCGGAAGTCAACTGCCTCCTGAGCGAGAGCACTCCACAACATGGGAGCAACCACAAAGAACACCCTTTCTCATGTTCCCACCAAATGTGCCTGTGAAGACAGTGGGGCTGAGAGAAATGCCTCTCCTGAAGATCTTAGGAACGAGGAAGCCTCATACAAGGGATAGTCAGTCCTTCAGGGAGCCTAGACCTGAGCCATATAGGGCTTTATAGGTCATGATCAACACTCTGAATTAGGTGCAGAAACAGAACAGCACCCAGTGAAGCTACTGGAACAGAGGAGTTATGCGCTTCCTGTAACTAGTCTCGGTCAGCAGCCTGGCTGCACCATTTTGAACCCCGTGAAGTTTCTGAACCATCTTCAGAGACAGTCCCACATAGTAATCCAAGCAGACAGTACAACAAATGAATGCAGCAAATGCAGTCCTGGCCACTGCTGAGACCTGAGCCATTTAAGTTCAGGGATGAGTTTGTGAGTCTAAGTAAAGGGAGTGGAACCCCATCTAGCATTAGCAGATGGCTGGTCTCATCAACTCTAAGAAGCATAACCAGTAGTGAGTGAATAATACTGGGAGCTAGATTGCAGCACTTTACTCATTACGTTTAACCAGCATGTAGAGAGCCATAAGTTGCAAACTCCAGCTGAATGCAACACATGTACAAAATGAATTAGTGAATAATATAAATAAGAGTACTCTGATGTAGCTGAAATTCTGTACTTTCTCACATGAAAGAGAATTCACAGAACTCTGTTGGTCTTACATGTGAATAGACATGTACAATATATAATATGACCATCTTGGAACTGCAGAGCTGGAAGGGACCCTAAGGATCATTGAGTCCAGCCCTTGTCAAAGAGGCACAATTGGGGAATTGAACTCCCAGTTGGGGAATTGAACTCCCAACACAGCCAGATACCAAAATCACCGACAGGTTGTACTGTCCACTGTATCACATATCAACGTAAACTGTATAAAATTTAAACATATCTGGTATGTGCTGACAGTCACTAGGGTGTAATGGGGAGATGTTTTCATGTTTTTGGGAGAAAAACAGCACTCCTGATAGGAAGACTTGCCAACATGAAAAATAAATATTTTTGTAGATTATTTTTTTCAGCATGGTTATGCCCTGAAACACCTTCCTGTGTGTACTTCTTGAACAGGAAAAGGAATATTCTTCTTCTCTGCTTTTAAACAGCATGGATAACTTTTTTTAATGAACCACATTATCTTGCTTACCTTCTCTTGCAAGCTGAAGCAAGTAATTCACCAGATCACTGACATTTTTACTGGCAAAATAATTGTAATACTGAAAAACTGTTATAACTTCCAAAGACAGACTGGAGGAGAGGACAGGCTCGGCACGGTCCACAATATGGGAAACCAAAGTTTTGAACACTGTATTTAAAAAAAATCAATTAGCTATTAAGTATCCACTAACAACAACAATGTCAAATTACTGCAGGCTGATCATTTAACGTTTTTGTTTCCAGTAAGCAAATATTTAGATATTTAAAAAAAATCAATTAGCTATTAAGTATCCACTAACAACAACAATGTCAAATTACTGCAGGCAGTGGATGATCATTTAATGTTTTTGTTTCCAGTAAGCAAATATTTAGAAAGAATCAAGCACTCGAAATCATAAAGACATAACATCTAAGGCTTTATTTAGTTATGTGTGTGTGACATCAAAGTTGCACAAACAATAAGGTTTGACGTTACTGGAACAACTTTAATCAGTTAAACATAACAAATGGTTGTTTGTTGCTTGGATTAAGTTCTCTGTCTAGTGTGGATAAAGAGTTATTTCAGGTGCATCCCAAAGGATCATTTACTGGTTTTTATTTCTCTGACTTCAATGCCATTTGTGAAGGTCTCCTGAGTTTTGTTAAGAAATCCTCAGTGCTGGATTTAAGTCGGAGGCTGCTGTATAACTGTCTGAAGCCACATGGGAACAGAGCTCAGCTCTTAATTATTAACCTTATCAGGCAGTGAGGCAGGAGGCAATGACAGCTTTAGTCAATTAACTGAGAAGATCAATTGGCTAAAGCCTTTCCCATGTGAAACATTTACTCAATTAACTGTTTGGACTAATTGCTTAAAATATTTGTGTGTGTGACTAAAAGGTTTTCCCAATCAGGTAACAGGTATGTTATTTAATATTCCACTGCATGTGGCAAGCTAACGGGATGGTTTCTAATAGGCTTAGCATACATATTCATCATCTTAAAACTGCTTACTGTTTGATTCCTATGCAAATTTAAATAAATAAATAATTGCTTGCCTCAGCCTCATGCAACAAACTAACAATGCAACCCTTCATATGCCAACTCAAGTAAGGCCAGCTGTGGTCAGTAGAACTGACTCCCAGGGAAGCATATACAGGATCATAACCTTGGGAGTACTTTTTTTTCCAATTGATAATGGTCATGTTTTTTAAAGACTCTTAGGGAACCTCTGGCCCCTCCAATGAATCAAGCGTATGGCTGTTCCCTCCCAGGGTCTCTTTGTCCGGAGACAAAACTGGCTGCTATCTCAGTTCCCTCGGAAAGCTCGATATCTTTCCCTGCAGTGAGAAAGGAGCACTTCTTTCTCTCTCTCTCAATCTCAAGGAAAAGGTTGTCTGCATAAAGAACAAGGACAAGATTTCAGTATGGGAGGGTCCAGTCCCATCATCTGCCCTCCAAGATGCACCCTGGAGACAATCTATCCCTCGCAACAGCCCCATTTAAAGTTTGTTGGTAGAGAACTGCAGTTAGTATACACTGTGTCTGGAACATGGAAGAAGATTCAAAATGTCAACAACTCCATGTTTAGTTAATGTCCAGAATCCTGTTGGTGATTTGCATGTGCGTAAATGAAATTGAAAACATTGTGGTGGCAAATGGATGCATATGAACAAAGTGTTGGCTGCACTGCTAATCACACACAAACAGAAATATCATGATCATATTTCTAATTAGTGGCAATTTGTTGCCACAGCCTACACGATTCCCCTTATGTAAATTGTCAATAGGATTCAGATCCATAATCTTTTTATGCAGTGTAACAAAGTACAGTTTGATTTACACCAAATAGTACAACAGCTCCACACCCCCAAAGGCATTTACAAACTGAAATTCAGTGCAGGAGATATTAAAAAGGCATGATAGGGAGTTAGGAACATGGATAAACAGGGAGGGACTATGTAACTGTTTCATTTACAAGTGTTTAGATTTAGCTATAAACTAAGCTACAGGACACAACCTGAGTTAAAGTCCTCATGAAAAAGATTCTGAAGAGAGTTTTAAAGAAAGTAGTTCTGAGCCATACACAGCAGAAGTGTCAGAATTAAAGAAAAAACTGTTCAGTATGAGGGAAAAAATTGGTTTAATCAATTAATCATTTATCTGTCTATTAGTATCACTTTTAATGTAGTTGAACATGTTTACATAAATTAAATATTATGTATCATATCTGGCTGTTTGGTTATTACTAACTTTGTTGACCTTGCAATACTGGCAGCCCATCCAAGAGGATACAAATGATTCTGACAGGCTAAAACCTTGTCAACAGATGGAGATGCCCTTTGGTAGACAAGTGGTTTGCTAATATTATAAGGAGAGCCTACCCTTCCTGCCTTGGAAAGTGCACATGAAGTGCATTCTTCTACAAGGATCCTAAAAGGAGAACATTGAAAGGAGTGAATCAGGAGAGAATAACATTCCAAATACTTGTGTGAATGCCTAGACTTCAGATGGACTCTGTTTTGTTTAAGTTGACTTTTTAAAAAAAGAAAATATGTGGAAACCTCGGCAACAACTTTGAAATGTATCACGTTGATGGACATAAATTCTGCTGCAGAGGTCTCTCTCACAGATGCTTTCTATCCAAGAACGCACACTCAGGTTGTGCTCCCTGGCACTGCTCTGGAAAAAGTTTAAGAACGTCACCTGTTTCCGAGAGTCCTGCACACTCATTGTTCACAGCTGTAGCAAAAGCAACGTCCAACTGCTTGATCATCTTGTCTGCAGAGGTGTGATATACACCAGGGGAACTGGTGCATTTATTCCAGAATGAGAGCAAAGATATCTTTTTCTGAAATTCTGGAATTGCTGATGAGAAACAAAATCAAGAAAGGTATGGATGCAGCTTTCAGTAATAGAAAGAAAGGTCAGAAATAAGCAAACAAAACAATCAGAGCTGAGCAACATTTGCAAACATGAGCACACTTACAGAAAGGGGAAAGGGGAAAGAGATTATTTAAACGACAACTTGTATAAATAAATAAAAAGAAATTTTATTCTGTTCTCGATTATCCCAGAGTGCAGGACATGCAACCATGGGCTCAGGTTAAAGGACGCCAGATTTCAGTTAAATATCAGGAAAAACTTCCTAACTGTTAGAGCAGTACAACAGTGGAACCAGTTACCTCAGGAGTTGGTGAGTGCTCCAGCACTGGAGGCATTCAAGAAAAACCTATGATAACTACCTGGCAGATATGCTTTGATTGTATTCCTGCATTGAGCAGGGGTTTGGATTAGATGGTACTGCAGGCACCTCCCAACTACATTTTTCTATGATTCTATGAAATTATTTTTTTATACTCTGATGACCAAACAAATGTTGGAACATGCAAATTCTCTATTGATATAACAAGGCTGTAGAAATACAATATGGAAATGTTACATTTTGGACTGTCATCTATCCGTATGCTTACTGGACATGTTGGCAGGAGGATTCTGGGATATGTAGTCCAGAAAAGTAACTTTTTCCAATTCTGTAGGATATTTATAAGCCAGTATAAACAGGTTTACTGAAAGTGGTGAGGGATGGGATTTTCAGAATTAATGAACCCCTAGCCCCATAATTTGGTGGTAGCCAGCAGCATGTACGGAGGCAGCTTCCATTGGAACTGGTTCTCCCATAAAACTTTGCGAGTTGCAGGGAATCCTCATAACTCCCATGGTGCAGCAGAGGGGCAGTTTTCTAAATGTCCAATGAAGCAGCAGAGGAGTGGTATGGAGGTAAGAGAGCTCCTGTATCCCTGCCAGTTTGATGGCTCCAGTCCCATAATTCAGCCTGGCAGTTCCCAGAAAATTATAGGACTATGAGTTCATTCTGAAAATCCCATCTTGGAAAATGACCAATGTCTTGGAAAAGATCCTTCCCACCTGTCCACAATTAATGTATTCCTGGGATGCATAATGGTAGAAAGCTTTCTCTGCTGGATATTTCATAACAGATGAAATGGAACAAAACAATAAAACAAAGCAAATTTGCTGTGAGATAACAAAAATAGTTTGGAAACAAGAGGCTATAGAATACCAAGTGAGATCAGTGGCCTGTCTAGCTCAATGTGTTTTGCATTGACTAGTAATGCTCTCTAGCATTTCAGGATTTGTTCCCAAGCCTACCTGAAGATACCAGGAACTGGTCCTATCACCATTTGTATGCAAAACCGTGTGTTCTACCACTGAAATCTGGCCCTTTCCTATGTAACTACAATTCTACACTTACTCAGAAGTTCAGTAGTAGCCTGTGAGTTGAGTCATGGCAATTGGACTTCTTATTAGGTTGAAACGTTTCTCTACTTATCCAAATAATTTCTTAACTCCAAGAAGAGTTGGTAGAAGCCCCTGATGTATCCTCCACATTGGTTTCACTTTCCCCTGGCCTGAATAGGCTTGGCTAGACAGACAATGGATGGGGGCGGGGTGATTGAAAATCCCACCTCTGCAATGGGTGGAGAAGGATTGCAAAGGTGGGATTTTCACTCACCTCCTGTCCTTTGTCCATCTAATGTATCACTTGCTTCCATGGCTCAGAAATAAGTCCAGTGGTTTTCAGTGGGACTTAGTAAATAGGTATAAGATTGCAGCTGTAGGGAGTAAGCATAGGCATCCTTCAGTCTCGAGAGACTATGGTAACATGCTCTGAATCGAGGAGTGTCCTCTCCAGAGCATGAAGCCCGGGTAAGCTAATATCGAGGATAGGCTGTTACCCAAGCAGCAGATCCCCCCTCTCCACATTGCTGAAATGGTCCAATGGAAAGGCAAGAGCCAATACAACTGGTTCCAGCAACGTCGCAGGAGTTGGCAGAACGACACATGCTGCCTTCGGGACTCCAGCTCCGGATTTTGCCTCGAGGTTAACTCCTGAAGCCTTTTCCAGGGAGTAAACACCACTGAAAAAAGTGGGACTTATTTCCTGTGGCAAGCACCTATGAGACTGCACTGCACACCGTCTTTTAGAAACATTTAATGAGACTTATTCATCTTTTAATATGAAAATTGATTAGCCATTTCTTACCTTCATTTACAGGTCTGATGCTTCCCATATTTTCACTGCTGATCTCTGCAAGACTCTTAATCACTAGAATCTGCTGGGATAGCTTGTCCAAAAGGTATCTTGTAACAAATTGGGTTTTGTTGGAGAATACAATTTGCTAGTAAAACAACCACCAAGAAGTAAAAATATAGATATGAATTATGTGTAATAAAATTATCTAAATAAAGCTTAATTCTGTTGAGACACATATTATCAAAGAATGTAATAGTAACCAGGTCAGAAAAGTATTATGTGACACAAGTACTGTACTGTAGGACCTGCAACAAAATAATGCAGCGAGGAATATTCCCATTCAGGGATCTAGCCAGCCTGATTCCACACATTCAATTCTTCCCTGTAGCCGGTTCCCTGGTTCCCATGCAGCAGTGAGTAAACATACTACGTTCACAAAGCATGCTCATTTCTCACTGGACTGCTTTGGTTATCTTTGCCAGTTTCCAACCTCTTAAATATTTTATATTTATCACCTAAGCCTGTTGACGTCTCTGTTTTGTATGTGGATGGTGCCATTTTAGCTAGGTAAGGATAAATACTTGTAGAATGGATTTGCTGTAGGATTGCATGTGACAAGAGATGCAGCATCCTCATCTCACATATCAAATTCAGTCTGTGGTGAGTTTCCTTTTCAGCTTGCAAAAATTCCACCCCCAAGGCCTTTCCCAGCACCAGACAATGGCAGCTTTGCTCCAGTGCTAGCACAGAAAGTATGCTCTTATCTCCAAATAGTTACTTAGTCAGTGATTGGAGGTAAGAGCAGGCTTCCCTTTTCTAATATTAGAAAGAGGCTACCTTCTATCTCTGTGCAAAGGAAAGACCTGCAGGAAAGAAAGAAGTAGAGAGAACATCAGAGAGAAGATCCTGGAAACTGTGCTAACTGTATTTTTTCCCAACAAGAGAGATTAAATAGAATACTTAGACTACAGCCCACACATATACATATTTCTGCTGGTGCTCAGATTTAGGCCCCAGTTCAGAGAAAATTACAGCATAGCTCCAGGAATGTTTGTTTAGATGAGAGTTCAATTTAATTTAATACAGTTTACTCCTGGGTAAGTATACATATGATTGTGGTGATACACCATAATATATTTATACAGTGGTGCCTCGCTTAACGGGCGCCGCGTTTAACGACGAAATCGCATAGCAATGAAGATTTTGCGATCGCAAAAGCGATCGCATTGCGATGTTTTAAATGGGGAAAAATCGCTTTGTGATGCTCGGTACCCTGTTTCGCTTACCGATCATCGTAAAGCGATGATTTTTAACAGCTGATTGGCGGTTCCAAAATGGCCGCCGGGTAAAAAAATGGCCACCCGCTGTTTTCTGGGACGGATTCCTCGCTTACCGGGCAGCGAAAATGGCCGCCGTATGGAGGATTTTCATTTAAAGGTGAGTCCGAAGCCCATGGGAACGCATTGAAGGGGTTTCAATGCATTCCTATGGGCTTTTTAATATCGCATAGTGATGAAATCGCTTTGCAGCGATTTTTGCTGCACCGATTATCGTCACTATGCGAGGCACCACTGTATTTACATTGAAGTAAATCCCATTGATTTTACTGGGATTTATTATTTAACAGATGTTCAGTTCTACAGACTTAGCTGCACTTAAATCCACTGGAATCAACAGAACAAGGTGGGCATACCTCACATTCTGTCCTATTAATTTTAAGGGATTTATGCATGATTAACCTTATCATCTTAGCCTCAGTCCTGGCCTATTACTTCTACAAAAATGTAACCTTGCCAGGCTCTCTGCAATACCAAAGGGATGCTCTTTGTTCCCTGTTGTGTCTTATTATTCCTGCACTAATCCTTGTGTATAATAGGATTAATGCGTGATGTACAAGAAAGAGAAACCAAGAACTAATGCGGGTCAGGGCAACACAAAAGAAACTAGAGATGACAAAGAGCAATATGATTGTCAGCCCCTGAAAATCAGGCACGAATCTATCTCCAGTAATCATTTGTTATATACATTTTTCAAAACAAGAATAACAAAAGGTGCAACGCTGTATAAGAAAGGTACCTGAATAAGCTGCGTGCAGTACTGCAAATGCTTGACGATGGTGATATCCAGGCTATCATTCCCAGTTGTCAACGGCAGAGGGCTTCCAGCTACACTGGTACCAACTCCTGTGTCTTCTGTCAACGCTTCGCTGAGATGCCCTCTGGCTTCTGGGTGTTCTGACCTGTAACTGTTCATGCTGGGAGGTAAGTGAGCAATTTGATTTTCTTTTTATGTAGGCTCAATATGACTAACACCATGAGAAAAAGGAATGGTTAAAAGCCCCAGCCTGTGACTAAACAGCTCTTGGTAGGCCAGCAACCTTTTAAAGAATACATCATATCTCAAATTGGCAGTAGCATAAGGTATCAAGCGCCAAATAAGTGTCCACATTTACAGGATATATTGCTTCCACCGTGGCCTATTTGTTCCTCATAAACAATGCCTCTTTTGTAAAGAGTTATTGCTCTGAATGCTTTGAAATCAGCCTTCATTAGAACTTGTTTTCTTAAGAAAACAAAAACAAAACAACAACCTAGTCTATTTCCAACATGCTTTCCCATGCTCTTTGGTGGATTTAGCTGAATTATAGATCTGTAGTTTTGAAAGATGAAACAATTAAGATTTAATCTGATAGTGTTTTATTTGCAGTTACTCATGGTTAATTGCCAAGCAAGGTACAAAAAAGGGGAAGTTGTCTGAGCAGAAGACATGAATTTACCTGGTGAACTCAAACACAGTTTTTATGTTACAGATTCTGCTAGAGGACTTCCGTCAGCTAGTCTAGTATGGACTTTGCAAGAATCAGAATTAGTAAGTTAATTCAGGATAACACCTGTAATGGTCATTTCAGAGATGACATGAACCAATATCTGAAGAAGACCAAGGATATATAGAATTTGTAATAACAAAAGAAAGCATGGATTTTTAAAAATATTTGATGATGCTCTTGTGATACAATTCCATGAACATGTGATCAGATAAACGTTTCTCCACATGGTAAGCACTAATAAAGTGCTTCATTCAAACAATGCACTGAAAGCAAATAGGGGATGCTTTTACTTGTTTTAGCAGAACAACCTAGCAGAAATACACAAGTATTTTGTTGCTCTTATGTGCTGTTAAGTCACTTCCGACTTATAGCAATCCTATGGATTAGTAGCCTCTTTATTTATTTTAAAATAGTCTGGGAAGGTTTTAGTGTAGGTAGATTCTAATCCTTATCAAGATGGCTACTTTTAATCAACTTTTGTTGTAGAATTCACATAAAACTAGTTTTATTCTAAGACAGGCATACTTGCACCATTGTAATCAGAACCACAGTGAATCCAAGTTTCACCTACTTGCAATGTAGATTTGGCCTGTTTGGTTCCCCCACCCCTCTTCAAACACACAGAGAATAACTAGAACAGAAAATGTCCCAACAAGTCAATTGCTTTTTTGCCACTAGAGTACTTTTCTTTAATCCAGCCCATATAAAATAATGAGACCAAAGAAATGTCCCATGGCATTTTTTGACACATTACCAGGCTATGAACAAGTACTGCAGTGTACTCTGGCTGGCTGTATGTTGGCCCCATTTAGGGAAGTGCTGCAATTGTCTCCGAGGTCAGGAAGGCCTAATGTTAGCCCCAATCCTATTCCTCACAACACTAGAATCCACAGTTAAACCAGAAAATACCCCACAACTCACTCAATTCATGTTTCTTTTATTTTATTTGCCTAGTGTGTGAGAATTAAGAAGAGAGAACAATTGTGAACTGAGACATTTTAGGTAAACGATAAACTATACATTACCAACACATATTAAAAAATCTACTAAATTTCATCTTCAGTTTTCTGCATGAAATCATTGTCCTCCTATGCCACCCAATGCCGAAGTCCAGTAGGAAGTCACAACTAGATAGGTCCATTAAATCAATGGGGATTTGGCAAGTCAGTTCCTCCCTTAATTTCCACTGGTTGAACAGCCTGCTCTAGCTGTGACTTACTACTGGATTTCAGCCATTATTAAATTACATTCCCCCCAATGAGAGAATCCTTGACTAAAAAATGAATGATAAAGCTTTCCCTAAGAAAGAAGCACAAGGTATTGACATTCTTACCTGTGTTTCTCAACCTCAGTATCTGAGAATACAGAGTCAGCACCTCGACCACTACTGCAGAGCTCATCAGTACCGCCATCATCCTCAAAGTCAGAGGTGTTGAGGAAATCAAAGCTTTCCAGTGCACTCTCAACTGTGAGGCTTAAACTAGATGACCTGCTGTGATTTGCTGTTGGTCTGCACTGCAATATCAAAGGCAAAACCACTAGATGAGAACCAAAACCCTCAATGTTGGGATGAGGTTAGAATATTGAATCTAATTAAACAGGATGCTTTACATTTCCTTCAAATTCAAGAAAAGAATATGCTACATTTTCACAGTTGCTTGTTTCCATAATTTTCCAGATTTTAAGATTTCCCTTTGAATTCATTAGGCAAAATCATGTACTTACACCAGGGTACACTGGATCTAAGTACCAAAAATTATTAATTTACACAAAGCGAATACTTTCTATTCCACACACACAAACCTGTTAACAAAGTGAATACTGTATTTTTCGCACTATAAGACACACTTTTTTCCACAAAACAAGTCTGTGCGTCTTATGGAGCGAAGAAAACAGATTATTTTTTCCTGTTTTCTTCTCCTAGAAATTTGGTGCGTCTTATGGAGAGGTGCGTCTTATGGAGCGAAAAATACGGTACTTTCTATTCCACACACACAAACCTGTTCAGGTTCCAAGGCTCCCTGGAACTCCCTTTTGTCCTATGGAAGCACTGGAACATCGGAGCCTTTAATAGTTAGAAAAAACTGCTAGATTGTCACTGCAGGTTGGGCCCACCCTGAGGATCCCAAAGGCTGTCTGGCTCCAGTGTACACTAACATAACTATGTGCACAGTATTTTGCCATTGTGAGAAGGCATCTGTAAAAGAATGATGTGAAGAATGCGTAGATAACTTGCAGACTGAGTGTGAGGGCTCATTCTAGAATCTCAGGCGGGAGCCCTGCACTTATCATGATTTGCCTATGAATATATGGAGTATTATTTGGTGGACTGCAATAGGTACAAGTCTGCAGTAAAGCTAGACTAGTACAGGTTAAGATAGGAAGGAACTGTGAGTTCTCTTAATGGGAGTCACACATGTGGATAACCCTAAACAGCCCTCATATTGTTTTTAATGCATTCATAGAAATATTATTGTATGTGGTCCGTCCACATCTCCCACTTCCATCTAAGGTGGATCACTCAGCTGCGTACCTACCTTGACACTGGGTCCCTCACCACATTGGTCCATGCACTCGTAGTCTCAAGGTTAGACTACTGTAATGCTCTCTATGTGGGGCTGCCCTTGGTGCTGTCACGGATACTTCAGCAGGTCCAGAACTTGGCTTAGAGTACTAAATTGTGTGAGAAGGCATCAACATATCTCCCCCAGCCTGGCCGCCCTACACTGGCTACCTGTTCATTTCTGTGCCAGCTTCAAGGTAATGGTGTTAACATACAAAGCCCTAAACAGTTTGGCACCTCGTTATCTGGCAGAACATCTCCTTCCAACCAGATCTGCCTGTTCTGTAAGATCTTCCCAGGCTGGGCGGTTGAGAGTTTTGACCCTGAGAGAGGCTTGGAAAACAGTGACCAGAAACTGGGCCTTCTCGGAGGTAGCCCCACAATTGTGGAGTGGTGTGCTGCCTGAAATCTGCCTGGCGCCTTCATTGGGAATTTTTAAGTGATTACTAAAAACAATGTTTTTTAGACAGTCCGACCTGGACTATATTATACCCTGATACAACTATAGCGCTTAAACAACCAGATATTCATTAATGTTCAACATTCAACCATGCTTTCATTATTTTATTTTAATGTCTTATTGATATTATTTTCATTTGTCTGTATTGTACTGACTACTTTATATTATTGTCCTATCATTGTATTGTTTTGTCTTTATATTTTGTTTTATTGTACTGTGTAAACCACCCAGAGTAGCCTGGGTTGCCAGATGGGCAGTTCTAACTAACTAACTAACTAACTAACTAACTAACTAACTAACTAACTAACTAACTAACTAACTAACTAACTAACTAACTAACTAACTAACTAACTAACTAACTAACTAACTAACTAACTAACTAACTAACTAACTAACTAACTAACTAACTAACTAACTAACTAACTAACTAACTAACTAACTAACTAACTAACTAACTAACTAACTAACTAACTAACTAACTAACTAACTAACTAACTAACTAACTAACTAACTAACTAACTAACTAACTAACTAACTAACTAACTAAACTAACTAACTAACTAACTAACTAACTAACTAACTAACTAACTAACTAACTAACTAACTAACTAACTACTGGGCTAGGAACATGTTTTTAAAAATAAACCACTGGGCTAGCACTATGTTTTTAAAATAACCATTTATTAGTTCTCTGGATTTTCCTGTAGTTCTCAAGTTCCCACTTATATGACATAAATCCATCATTCCTGAACTATCTAAAAGAACTGAAATAGCTTTTGGATGACTGGGCTTTTAATTATAACAACAGAATAATAGTATAGAATATATTAATTTAGACCAAAGGTTCGTTTTGTGGGTACTTTTTGACATTGTCTGCCTCTACTCAGAACACTTCACCTTTACCATTACATGGAAATCTGTTCCTGTGAATTCTCAGCATATGTTACATGTATGTGAAGCACTGGTATGTATTGTAACATGTCTTTCAAAAATGTGCTTTAGAACTAATAAATATGTACTCCTACGGATGACAAAATTTACCATCTGAACTCTTATCAGTAAGATAAACAGAATCATTCTTTGCAAAATATATAAATGCAATAATCAGGAAGTGTATGTAAATTGTTTCCATACAACACCATTTGCTATGAAGCCACTTTCACACAGAAGAGTTCAAAATACAATTTAAAAAAATAATGCTTTACATTAGTGATTAAGCTTATATATAGTGCCTTTGTGAGCAAAATACTGTGAGAAAAATGATAGACAGAAAGCTGATAAATTCAGTGCAACAAGAATTCTGTAGTAAGTATGATTCAAAACATATAGCTCCCATGCAAACCAAAGTATATGCTTAACTATAAATTGAAAAATTGCTGAGCAGAGGAAGTGATTAACTTGCCAATAGAGGGGAAGTGGCAGGGGCTATTTCTATGTAAATGGTCAGACTTGATTATATCACTTTAATCAAGCCCAACCAAAGCAAAGCAGCCCACCATAGCTCACTCCCTGCAGCTTATGTAGCTGCACTGCAAGTTGCAAAGAGCTTTTTTCTGTAGTTGGCTAAGTCCTATGGACTGTGTACATCTTTTCCTCCATATTTTGTTTTGGAAAACAAAACTGCAGTGCCATACTAAGACAAGCAAGTTATCACAGATAAAACAGCTGATTTTGATAAGCCGAATATTATGCTTCCAGATAAACAACAAAAAGAAAAATATCTTAAAGAAGTTGGAGTTCTAATAAGAAGCAACCTCAAAAGTACAGAAAGTACAAAAATTGCAAAGTACCAGATGCTAAGGTATGATATTAAAAGAATATGGAATCAAAATCAGGTCATCCACTTTTTTATAACTAATTTTAGCTACTGGAGATGTTAGAAAAATCTTTGGTTACCAATTTAAAACTTGCTCCTGGAATTTAAAAAAATCTGTGATTTTTGCAAATGTGTGGTCCCACCCACAAATTCTCAGAACTTGATTTCTAATTTTTAGATTTGACCCTGTATCCCTGTGCACCAATAATGCTGAAAAATAAGTGCAATGTAACAACAACAATAACAGGATTTTTTTTAAAAATCTGAAACTGAACTTACTTTTAATATTTCATCTAGATGTGTTACTTCTTGGTCCAAATCCTGGAATTCTTTAAACTGTTCTTTATGAGGCTCAAGGGCTAGAATAAGTCCCTGAAATGCTTCTTCTAGGCTTCCTTCTACACAGGATTTGTAGCCTTCAGATTCACCACTTATTGACCCCTCACAATGCAGCTTCTCAGGTGTCACTGGGCCTTCCCCTGACGTAAGTCTTTTAACCAGCTGCTTAGTGATGTTGCCTTCAAAAGTATCCAGCTCCACTGGCTTGAGCTCTGATAATTCTTCTGGGTCCTGAAGAAGAGACACAGGGGCACTGTTATCTAAGAAGAGGCCATTGTCTCTTCTTGGATGTGGAGACCTTTGGCAAACTTCAGAATCCAGAACTGAAGTCTTCTTTTCTGCATTGTCTAACACACGCCCTTGTGGCTTTGCATCTGTGGATTCGGGAGTGGAGTCTATAGAGCTGGTACTGATATTGTCCACAAGGTGCGTTTTTGATAACCGTTGCCCATGGTGTTCCGGAGGCGTGACAGTAATTTCAGGGTTAGAAGTATCTACGGTGGATGAGGAGCCTACAGAGCTGGAAGATAAGGTGCAATCTCCATTGGGAATACCACTGAAGCTGAAAGACAGTGGCCTTTTCTCATTTTCTGTTGTGCCATTTTCAAAGACATCATCAGCTAAATTTGACTGAAAATATAATAAAAACAGTGAAAGAAAGAAGCCAAGGGACGTGCCACACAACACTAAACAAAATTAAATACCCCTAGGAAGAAAACATAGTAGTATTAGAGTTTGTTGGCTTCTGTGAAACCAAGTTTGGTTGAAGTTATGAAAGAATTTTACCTTTAGTGATACTGATTTTTAAGAGAAATTCAAGAATAAAATAACACAGCAAATAGGGGAAAAATCCACAGAAATTGTTCAGACTGAGTACATATTATTTCTGAACTAGCCTTCCTCAAGCTGATACAATCCAGTAGTTATGGAAGGCATAAGTTTGAAGAAAGCTGTTTTAATCTTGAACTAAAGTTATGTGAGAGTTACTGCAAAGTCATTTAACTGCATGCACAAGACTGAGGAAACTAAATAGTATTTTGCTGACCAGATTTTATCTGCCACAAAAGAATTATATAAAATGGAATGCACAACAAATATCAAATGCCGTAACCAGAGCTTAGAAACATTACCTTTTTTTGGACTACATTTCCCAGAATCCTGCAACCAGCTTCTGGGTGTTGTATTCCTTAAAATTAACATTCAGTAGGTCTGGTCATGACTTTATTGGTAACAGTCCATACTAACAGTCACAGAATCGAGTGCTAGAGGTTGCCTTGCCTCTTGTCCAGCAATCCTGATTTTTGACTTGCTTTATTTTAAATGTTTATGCAAAACACCACAAAGCAGCTTTAAACCCCACTAAAACTGGTGGAGCTCAAATGTGAAATTTAACTTCCAGACTACACCTATTTAATTTTATTTGTATCCTTCAAAGGATGCATGTGTTTTCCCCTTTGCTCTTTTTTTAGGCAGAGGCTGCAATATTATGGATCTCAATAACTCCAGTTTGAGCCTAAAGGGATTTCTTCAATATGTGGTCAGCAAACTAGATACAGCTCTCTGAGAAGTATCAGATGCAGGGCATGCATGGAAATGGAGGAGCTACTGATAGGTACAATCATTTATCACAACAAGAGTTCCCACCATCCCAAACTCACATCGTGTCCTAGCCCTGCTCTAGGTCTCAGCCTGAGAGATGGCAAATCACTAAAGGAGCGACTGCGGCGCAGCTTGTCAAAAAATGTGTCCTGCAGGGCATCTAAAATGGACAACTGGAGCCTGTCTTGGGGAGAATGCCACCATTTCTTCAACAGGGAAGGCAAAAAAGGGTCAATTAGTCAACATATTTTAAATTGTTTATATTATATGTTGTTAGCCGCCCAGAGTAGTCAGTCGACTAGATGGGCGGGGTATAAATTCAATAAATAAATAAACTAGACTATCTATTAAATATGAATGTACTATAAAAAAAGTGAAACCAATTTTGACTACTGGGATTCCTGAAGACCTGAACATGCCAAAGGCTTCCTGGAGAAAGTTGATAAGCTCCAAGATACCCTTTACCATGAGAAATAAATAGTAGGTATTGCATTCCTAAAAAGAGCATTCTGGTCTGAGGTAGTCTTAAAGTTTGCACCATGCGTAGAACAACCTGGGGCCCTCAGAGGTTTTTGGGGTATAATTCCCATCATCCCTTACTTAGGTAGCTAGGAATAATGGCACCTGTATTGCAGCATCACCTTAAGACCCTAAATTGCCCATCCTTGGTTTACATTATCAAATATATTACTGCTACTACCTTTTCACTTTAAAAAACTGATTTCTATCCTTCAATTATTTAAATAAAAATTACTCTGTACAGAAATTCTCACATCATCAACATCACCTTAGAACTGCAGAGCTGTTCTAAGATATTGATGATGATTGATATTATAGCCAGGCTTACAAATTATGATGGTGGTGATGATGATGATGATGATTATGCTTATTAGGCAATACATTCAGGCAAAGATACAAATATATTGTTTTAACTCAAAAAATAGGGGGAAATCAATTAAGACCTAAAATGGTTAAATTGTAGGTCTGGTCTGGTTCTGTACTGATTCTGCAACAAACTAATTCTGGGAGACAAACATTTCTCATCCCAGTGCACAAGAATTAATAGCAATTATGAGAATACAGAATTCAAAACAAGTTGTTTTAGCAAAAAAAAAAAAAAAAAAA